CGTAGCACCCTGTATATCCACGATTTCTAAATAATACTCAATTCTCTTTATTTTTAAATTAATTTTTAAATAATAATCAATTCTCTAAGTTAGTTCTGTCGATATGCAGTAACGCAAAGATAATTTTCACTTAAGAGGAACTAACCAAAATGTTAAGTTGCTTAAGTACAAAAAATGGTCAAAATTTTTTCCAGAGTAGAATGACGAACAATCCAAATAATTCGAATACTAATTGTGTGCTCCAACCTGGGTTGCTAATTGTCCTTTTTGTCCCAGAGTATACGAGCATGTGCACGTTCACAAATATACAAGCAACAAATTTAATAGCTGTATAGAACATTCGAAAATGTTCAAAATATTGTCCTTTGTAATACTATAATAATTAATTTGTTAACTAAATTACAAATTTATTTATAACATACTAATAATTTAAATTAACTTTATAGTTCCATGACCTCGATAAACTACTGCCGGATATTCCAAGCAAGATTGATATACGTTTGACAGAAATTAAGAATCAGATAGATACTTTTGTTCACCATTTTCGCTGAAACAGTTCATGCGAATTACAGAAAAATGCATGATACGACATTACGATACATTACGTATAAAAGTGTGAAAAAGTTAATAATATTTTTATTGTTGTTATAATATTTATGTAAAATTATTTTCCATTTCTGTGTAGTAATATTTCAAATTTCTTTATACAGTTTACCACGTAATGTAATTTTTGCCATTTTCAATATTTAATAAAATGAATATTTGTTTGGTACATTTCTAATTTACAATAAAAACCCCTTTATATCATATGCTGTATGTTCCTGTTTATAATAGTCATGTTATTATCTTCTAATTACCTGTGTCTCTGATATGTAGGTGAAATAGTTGATTCGGAAAATGAAATATGCACACAGATGAAACTATTTTATTCGGGCATACAACTGTATGTAAATAAAGTGAGAAAGACTTTACAAGACTGTGATAGAGACGTATCATATTAATAATACATATTAATTTTTTACAGTATGTAATTATGAAAATTATAATCGTTACTTCTTATATGTGTAGATATACAATGATACTTTTCCGAGACAGATCGATAATTTTTGGTAATAAATAATGCGACGATATTAGATGCGTTTCTTCGTTGCAACATTTGTGAACACATTATCCTTTCTTTATTTAACTTCCATTATAAAGCAAAGAAGAAATGATTCCACGAACGTTGCGACCGGTAAGTGGAACGTAGAATTTAGAGGCATACGAGTACACCATGTATTATCTTTCATGTAACGGGGATGACTAAAACCAGTCTCCGCCAGCACTGAGAAAAATGTCCGATTAAAAATAATCGGATAATCCAATTTTATAATAACAAACGGATATATGCAATTAAATTGTATATCCGATGAAAAATATGATCGGTTCATCAAATTTCATTGGAAACTGCATTTCATCGGAAAAATTTCATCGGATGTGTCCATAATTTAATCGGAAAACGTAATCGGAAAAATTAACCATCGGAAACACTGTTTAATCGGTTTATCCGATGGAAATTTTTCTCAGTGGGGCTATAAATTTGTGGGCAATTCTTATTAAAATGAGAATCCAAATGTAAAGATTCGTATTAACTTTTAATTATGAACAAATCGAACATCCAATCATTATTGGAGACCTAAATGCAAAATTATTTTACATAAAAGTATTATGCAAGTCTCGCGCCAAGTATAAGCGTAGCTAGAACCGCGTTTTTGATAACTAAACGTAAGATTATTTCCAGTATGCCTAGGAAAATAAATAAGGAAAAAGAAATTAATTCAGTTTGATTAAAATACTTTTAAGAAGATTCATTAAATTACAAGTAGGAATAATATCAGTTTATGTAAAAGAAGATTAACTAATATAAAATATTTGGTTGCAACTTCATCTAGTTTGTTGTGAAATATAACTAAAAGACAGAGACTTGGTAACAATATAATTCGTATCTATCGAATAACATTTTCACTATTTATTGTGGTATTGGTCGTAAACATTATCGTTAGTTCGTGTAATCTCCTGAGACGGAAAGGTCGATTCTGTAGCTAGACTTCTGGCATCGACACTTCGTAACTCTGGTAAGAGAATTACTCGCAGATCATTTCAATTTACCTGAATCATTGTAAGTTTTCAGTATCAAATCAATTTTAGAATTTTTAAGATTATAATATATTCCAAATAAATCTGACACGGTATTATAATACATAAAGTATATATGAAAGTATCCATATTAGATATATGCGTGCGTGCGTGCGTGTGTGTGAGTGTATGTGTATACATGTACTTGATAAGCAGATTAGGTTAAAACGAAAAGAAGTTGCCCGTTATACGGGGTGACAGAGTAACAAATCTCAAATCGATACACAATTACAGAACAATTCTTCACTGTATCACGAGATCTGTGTCGTAAGAGCAGCATTTAGACTGGAAAGCAGAGATGAGCAACATTGAGAATAAACAATATATGTTGTTATTATATTTAGCCGAAACACAAATTATCGTGATAGCTTTAAGACGTATGAATCTCGAAAACGACTCGAAATCATAAACTTAATTGTATAAACGTCTACGAAATGTGCCAAAAAATTGTCTTATAAATGTTTTCTTTTCTTAAATATTAATTGCTTATTTAACATTTCTTACTTCTTTTTCTTTCAGGCGCATTTTTATAAACACCACTGGACCTGTCCAGCAAATTATAGAAATGGAATTGTTAAAATTAATATTCAGTATAATATTTATTACGGCTTCTTTGCCTGAAGAGATGTTAAACGTTGAAGCAATTATTAAATACCCCTTGACGCGTTATGTAAAACCTATAAAATACAAGATTCTGTTAAAAGTAGACATTGAAAACAATAGCTTCCGCGGTATATCGAATGTCGTTATTAAGATTGTCCAACCAAAAACAACGATAGCATTGCACTCAGTATATTTGAATATAATTCCATCGAAAACGGTGGTTTTCAATTCTCATGATCCTAATAAGACCAAGCACGTTGTAACTAACATTTTATATTTACGGGAAGAGGAAATGGTTAAACTGTATTTTAAACCGAAATTAAGACCTGGTTTTCATACTCTAAACATGGAATATACCGGCAACATGTCTGATAACATGGGTGGCTTCTTCAAGATTCCATATACAAACAAGGACGAGAAAAAGTAAGTAACTTTAAAACTAAGTACCTTAAAACTATTACACATATATATTAAAAAAATTATATTCAAACTATTGTATCGAAACGTCAGAAGATTTAATCTACACATGCACTACGTAATAAGAAAGTTAGTATAAATACCCTTAAGTATAAAGAATGCATTATAGCAATGAGTAACAAATGAAGATAATAAATGAAATATTAAAAATCGTTTTAGTTTTATAATATACATACTGTAGAAATATCACTCCACATTGTAGTATAGAACGCTATAATAGAATAATAGTAATAATGTTGTGAAATAACTATAAAACACGGAAAACACGACAATATAATATAGTTTCTTACGCTGAGAAAAATGTCCGATTAGATATAATCGGATAACCCAATTACGTAATAACAAACAGATATATCCGATTAAATTGTATATCCGATGGAAAATGTGATCGGTTTTTCAATAAAATTTTACCGGTAACAGCATTTTATCGGACAAATTTCATTGAATGTATCCATAATTTATTCGTAAAACGTAACCGGGAAAATTAATATCGGAAACACTATTTAATTGGTTTATCCGATAAAAAATTTTCTTAGTGTAGTCATAAAATGTAATCGTATCTGTTCACAATGCATTCTACTACTCTAATCCATTTCGTCTCTTATGTCGCTCTTTTATGTTAATTAAATATATACAAATTTTCCCTTTATTTGAGATATTGAATTAAAATATAAAATTCGTAGATGGTTTGTCGCAACACCAACCTGGGTTACTGGAATACGAAGAACGTTTCCATGCTGGGATGAGCCAGATATCAAAACTATATATGATATTACTGTCAAACACCAATCGAATTACACGGTTTTTTCTAATACGCTACAATATACAACTGACTCTTTCAATGATAGCATCAAACAAATACACTTTTTCGATACTCCAGTAATACCTGCTTATCTCCTAAGTATAGTGCTGTGCAATTTATCTAGTATTAATATTCACTTGAAAGGCAGGCCATTGCGAGCACATGATCTAAATTTGGCGAGTCATATTATTGAAAAAAGTACGAGTTATTTTGAAACTCAGTGGACATATTGGAGTCAGGTAGAAGACCATTTCGCGATTCCAGGTTTTGTAGATGACGGTATAACAAAATGGAGACTCGTATTTTACAGGTAATGTACTTATATGGTCAAATGGATCCTTGTAAATCAAATTTAATTATAAGTTCAATAAAAGATAAAAGTATTTTTACTCTCAAAATAGAAGACATTTCGCTAGAAACTAGGCTCAAACATATTCACATTATTGAGAGTTACATGAGCAGAGGAAGTGTTTTGTATATGAAATTCTAATTATACTATTAAAATAGTTAAATGCATATTCAGTTAAGTTGATGCACATATTTGATAAATTGTTACAAAACTTGTATTTTTCTAATGACAGTATTATTCTTGTTACTTGATTAATATTGGAAAAAGAAAACCAATTTCGATATATTAAAATTGTGGAAACAATAACCTGGAAGAGAAGATAAAGGGTAACCAATAGTATACATATAAGCCATGTGTTAATTATTCTTTAATGATTTTTAGAGAACAAGATATTATTTATGATGAAGAATTAGATCATATTGGGCGCAAAATGGAAATAGCATTTTTAATCGGACGTAAAATAGGACTCCAACGTTTAGCCATCACCAATCCATCGTCGCCTTATTTTTGGTTGAATGAGGGTATTGCGGTTCTGTATGCATTTGATAGCATTAATGAGGTTAACTTTTTATACATCTACAATATATTATTTTACTAAAAATGGCAATTTTCAAAAGTATATTGAAAGAAATTGCAGGAATCATTTTCAAATATTTGTACTGCAATGTAAAAAATACTGCCTTAAAAATATCAAAATAAGCAAATTCGCAGTACACAAGTGATGCTGTTGCACATTGCTAGAAAACATTTGTTTCTCGAATATTTTCCCAGATTAAATATTTAATGATTATTCTTGTTATCAGAATAACTTTTGTTTCTAGATTTACCCAGAGTTGCGCATATGGGATTTGTTTGTAGTCCAAATTGTACAAGAATCTCTCCATTTGGACAACGAAGGAATTATGAATCCTCTTATATTCGAATACGATTATACCTCTGATATTAATTCTCAGTTTTTCTTATCCTCTTATATCAAAGGTAATATAAAGTGCAAACTTTAACTGTATAATAATCAAGAAATTTTTGGACGTAATTCTTCTAAACGAATGAACAAGGCTAAATTTAACTCAATTCATCTTCAATTCACCTAAATGTTAAATGTCGTGAGGTAGTGGAAAAGAAGAATAAAATGCAAATTAAAATTTATTTTAAATTAAGAATTTTGAATGCCGTTAATAAATTTATTAAACTACATCTACTGTAATTTCGTAATGTCATGTGTTGTAGCCCCTGCTATATTGCGCATGTTACAACATATACTGCGCTATAATGTATTTCGGAAAGGTATCGAAAAATATATAAAATCCGAGTGAGTATCTTTCGAGTATTGTATTGCTTTTCATCCGTATCATCACTATTTTCACAAACGTTTGTAATTGTATTTAATAGATTATTTACACTTTCTTCGAAATGTGCATAATTCTTTTATCTCTTTCTTTATTTTCTTTCTACTCGATTATATGGTAATTCCTTATTCAGTTTTTCTTTTTCAGTCTTGGTTTTATATGAATGATTTTTAATAATTTCGTGATTTCGATTAGATTCTATTTTATATTTATCTTTACATTTATATTATTCTATTTTATACTCACAATTTGTAATATTTGATATAAAAACTTTTTCGTCTCTTAACTTTTCTTTCTCATTTTCTATTTAAAGTTTCATAATATCTTATAGATTATTATTTCTATGTTTAATTTCTTTATCATCATTTTTACCATTATTTATCAATTCTTTCTTTCTCCCCCCCCTCTCTCTCTGTCTCTCTCTTGCTCACTACATGTTTATTGCAACAAGCACTTGCACCAATTAAGCAATTAACGTATAAATTTCACTTCTCCTGATGTGCTGTCTGTTCATAATGTACTATAATGTATTGTATCAATTTGATTAAATTTTGTATGAATTTTTTATAATTAGATCAGCTACTCTGAATGATTTCTTGGATGCCATGCAAACAGTTCACAATGAAGAACAATCTATGCTACCATACAACATAACGGAGATAATATATCCTTGGCTAAGTCAAAGCCATTACCCTGTTTTAAGTGTAACAGAACAATATGAAAAACTACCGCCGTACGTTAAGATAAAAATAGAAAATGGATCAGGAACTTGGTGGATACCTTTTACTACCAATGTTACGTCATCAAGTTTGGACTTTAATACTTTAGATATTTCTGTAGAGCTATGGAAAGACAAAGATGAGAAATCTGTTATGCCTACTCAGAGGTTAGCCCCTGATTATTGGATAATATTGAACGTGCAACAAATTGGTAAGTATTGATTATTTTATTACGTTTTTGCAATTTTTCTATATAATCGGGATTGAGTAAAACAATAAAAGGAAATTATGTAACTCCAGCCAAATACATTTTATCAAACACATTAATTAATTCAGTAATGCATTTAAATTTATAATAAAAACAAATTTTGTAGATAACTTTTACGTTATAGAATAATAGATTATAATCGCATTATCGAGAAAATATATAGGATATTTAAATATATGCAAATGTATTTATTATAAATATATATTATATTTCTTTGAAAATATTTGAGAAAGACAAAGTTAGGAAATATATTTTCTGTTAAATGTCATATTAATTATCAGGATTAATAATCAATTGTATTAATTTTATTACAGGATATTATCGTGTCAAATATGATATTATTCATGGAAACATTTGGCAAAATATAGTTCGTTATCTCAATTCTGAATACTATACAAATATTCATGTTCTAAATCGTGCACAAATAATTGACGATGTAGTTTATTTTACCATGACAGATCAACTCAGTGCTTCTGTATTTTGGACACTTACGAGTTACCTATCGCAGGACACAGATTATATAGCATGGTATCCCCTGATTAAAGGTATTGAACGCATGTCTTACATCATTCCTTTTCCAAAAAAAGGAGACATGTTCAAGGTAAAAGATCCTGGAAAATGTTACATCTAAACGTTTGCTTAGTGATGAAGTATGAATTGTCAGAAAAGCTTCAATGAAATATGACGTAGCTAACATGTAGCTAGCGCTAATTCTGTTACGTCTTTCCGTAATTTTGTTCAAAGATAGAAAATTTAAATTGTCAGTATCATATTTCAAATACTAAGTACTACATAATACACATATTAGCTTATTCATGAATTATCATTGATGCCTACTGTATGTGTACTTATTGCTAGTGTTACCTGTAACGACTATATCTCAATTAATTTATAAGATATGAAGAGTATTAAACCGTTCACTTGAAATTTAAAATCCGTCACGCACGTACATAAATACGTATGTACATCTTTCTTCTAAAATTTTATAACTCTTATTTTTAAATTCAGAAATTACCACAGTTGATTTTAGTAACATCAAATTCAATTGTAAAATCATAAAACTATGTTTTAACATAGTTTAATTCTTAAATACATACTTACTATATGTATGTATATTCTTAAATACTCGTACGTGCCATGACATTTTCAGACATAAATAAAAAATCATTAATTTTACAATCTAGGATATCTTATACACACGATTAGAACCAGTTCTTGAAATAATTGGATACGAAGAAGATCCACAGGATAATTATCTAATTAAATGCTTAAGGCAAGAAATTACAAAATGGACATGTGTTCTGAGTCGTTCTGAAAGTAAATGCACTCATATGGCTTTGAAGAAATTAGAATGGCATCTATCAAGTCCAATGTAATTCATTTTACGACATTCTTTTTTAAATATACTTTTATCACGACACGGTAGTGTCTCACGCCAAGTATAAGCTAGCTAGAACCGCATGCGCGAGACCGACCGTGTAGTTTACGCGAGTACGCGAGTTGAGAGGCCCACAGAGTTTCGTGTCTCTTACTCACATTGCTCGAATTTTACAAATTATTTTTTTTAAATATACATTTGAGTTACAGTATATGTAAACTGATTTTTATTTGTCTTGTCTTTTCAGACATAATAAACTATTGCCGGGGTGGAAAAAGTGGACATTTTGTAATGGTTTAAAAATGGCTGGTTTTAGTGTTTTTGCAACAGTATATCTTATGTGTGAAAATGGAACTCTATTTCAAAACGATAGAAAAAAATGTTTAGAATTCCTGGCTTGTTCTCAATTTTTTTATATCACTATAACAGACAATAATAACAAAGACCGTTTTAAGGGAATAAGACAAGATACATTTGATGATATTAACTTTTTTCATACCATTGCTACGAACAATCCGGAATCTACTCCATTACGAAATACATTCGTACTCGATTATATATTAAACAATTGGATGGAAGTAAAACCGAAGTATATACAATTTTTTCTGTATATATTGTGCTCATAACCATGACAATACATCCTTGTTGTTAATTAAAAAACGTTTATTTTGTTTTTCAGAGAAATTAGCACTGTAGCAGCATTAATTGATATTATAAATCATGTATACACTAAGGAATCGCTTGATAAGGTAAATTTTACAAACGTCACCGCTACACTTGCATGTAATTTCCATTTCGCTAAACATGTTTATATTCTTAGGTTAATTAATTTAATCATGAAACAGAGAAAAGATACATTAGCACTTCTGAAAAACTATATGATATAAAGATAAATATATTGCATATAACACTGTAATATTATTTATAGATGTAAACGTTAAAAATCTGTTTTAGATACTTGAATTTGTGAACAATCGCATGTTAAATGCTACTGGTATATTCGATTCTGGATACCTTTTCTCAAAATTCAATAAACAGGTAAAGACTTATATGTGAACGTGAACATATTATCATATTAACACGAGAATATAGAATCAATATTTAATATCAAACTAGTGCACAACTATATGACACACTTTCGATTACGTATAACACACACACACATACACGGTTTTCCTAAATTCAACCGACAAATTGCCAAAGACAGAGGAATCATTTTTACACAAATGAAGGTGACATACGTTGGAAAACAGGTCATTATACATCGCTAAAGCATACAGGGTATTGGCTAGATCAGTCACCGATCTTATCTTCATTGGTTAGATCAGTTATATGTATAATTCATTGTTTTTGAGATATTTCCAAGGCCCCTTTTTCGAACACCCTGTGTGCTGCAGTGGTGTTATGACACGTTTCCGACCCCAGATTCATTTGCAGAAAATTATTTTTATGGTATCCTTGACAATTTCTGAAAACTTGTGGGTTGAATATGCGAACTGCACGTATGTACATGTATACATATATATTTATATATGTGTGTATATAATACATGTATATATTATTTAATGCAATATTCTTGCATCTTCCATTAAACACAATTATTATTTTATTTTAAATATAATACTACTGACGCAAATATACATATACGTTTATGTACCCTGGGAAATGAGACAGTTAGCAACCCATTTTGGGGCCCACAACTAGTAATCGAATTGGTTGGATTGTTCGTAACTTTAATTTTTTACGAATTATACTTCGCGTAACTAAAAATCGCAATTAGCTATTCTATCTATATCCAAGATTTTAAAATAATACTAATCAATTCTCTCAATTAGTTCTGTCGATATGCAGTAACGCAAAGATAATTTTCACTGAAGAGGCACTAACCGAAATGTTAAGTTGTTTAACTACAAAGAAATGGTCAAAATTTTTCCCAGAGTAGAGTTACGAACAATCCAAATAATTCGAATACTAATTGTGGACCCTAACTTGGGTTGCTAACTGTCATTTTGTCCTAGAGTATACGTACATGTGCACGTTCACAAATATACATGCAACAGTAGCTATATAGAACATTCGAAAATGTTCAAAATATTGTCAGGACTAAATCACATATTTATTTATAACATACTAATAATGTAAAATAACTTTATAGTTCGGTGACTTCGATGAACTAATTGCGGATATTCAAAGCAAGATTGGCACACGTTTGACAGAAATTACGAATTGGAAAAATACTTTTGGTTTCCATTTTCGCTGAAACAGTTCAGGCGATTTATCGAAAAACGCATGACACGACATTATGTTAAAATACGTGTAAAAGTGTAAAATGAAGTTAATAATATTTTTAACTTCGTTATAATATTTAAGTAAAATTATTTCATATTACCTGAATTTCGTTATATTAGGAATTTACTGTTAAATTGTAATATTATTTTCTTTTTCTGTGTAGTCATATTGAAAATTCCTTTATACAATTTATCATGTAGTGTAATTTTTGCCTTGTTAATATTTGATAAAATAAATTTGTTTGGTACATTTATTTCTAATTTAAATAAAAACTCTTTTATATCATATGCCGTATTTTTCCTTTTATAGTATTACTTTTCATATTAATATTATTATAATAACAATAGCATTATAATATAATTATATTAATATAGTAAAAAATATAAATATGTAATTCAATTTACTGTAAAATGTTAAATATATATCTTAATGTCTTTAATTTTATTGGAACACATATGGAATATCGATTAAGTTAATTTGTGTTTTGTCACATTACGCAAATTTACTCTTTCATATCAATATTATTTTCTCTCTTAATTCAGATTTTGAATTTATATAGTGTAGATATTAATATTTGGTGGAGGTGATATTTTTTCGCAATAAATTTAGAATAAAATATTTAGACACCCTGTCACGGCTCGTATATACATAGTCCTTTATTCCTCCAATTTGTGTTTAGCACATTTGAGCCATACCAATTTTATTAATTTGTTAATATTTGGTATTTGATACTAAATTTTTAATATGTTTATTTCCGAATTATAATAAAAATTCTATATTGCCCACTGCCCCTTTCTTTTATAATAGTCATCTCATTATATCCTGATTTACGTATCTGATGTACAGATAAAAATATAAATTTTTATAAAATTAATACGAGAAGAGGAATAAGCATGAAGATGAAAATAGTTTATTCAGGACATACAGTAATTAATCCAAATAAGGTGGGGACGATTTTAAAGAAATATGACAGTTGAAACCCATTTATCTTTTTTTAAAACGAAGCTACATTAAAAAAATTTCTTTTTGCTGAAATTGATAAATTTCTCCTTTTACTTTTTAAATATCTTCAGTTAAATAAACTGAGCGCTGTATATTTAAAAAAATTTGTACATATGCGAAGAAGGTATTGTATGCGCAACGTCAGTTTAAAATAAAAGGTAATTTACCACTCACCGATACGACTCGCAATCGCAGCGTTCTGTAAAAATGCAAATACATATATGATTAGCATAGAATAATTATGTAAAATCGAAATTATTGTATAACATATTTTTTGTTTTTTAAAATAGGTATTTATCAGAAAAATTATAGGATACTGAGAAAAGCCTTCCTTTTAAATGAAATAAACTCACAAAATTTTATACGTATATTTACGTATGTAACACTTATTCGAATCCTCGTTCGAATTATTTGAATAAATGAAACAAAAGCAGAGAACTAATGCTTTATTTTGCACAAGTAGCAAACAATAAAAAAAATGTAAAACACTCACCTTGTGATTGCTCCGCCGTTGCCCGATGCCTCCGAAGCCACCTCCTCCTCACAGATTTCCTTGTTGCACTAACACAACACTCACTCGCGTAGATCATCGATCGCGCGGAATTTCGAATATTCCCGTGCGCGATGAGAAACGCCGCATCGTTTCGACGTCGATCGACGAGTCGTTTCTAACGAGAGTGGGAGAAAGAGACGATCGCACACGGAAATACGAGCCGCCACGATGGCGTCGCGTGAAACGGCGGGAACGTTCCGGCGGGAGGGACGCGGAAATATGCGATGTCGCGCGAACATTTCTTTCGCCGCGCGTCGCGCTTGGAAGACTCGGATATTTCTACACGTGCGGGGAGATGCGAGTTGAAACTGAAGCTGGGATACTCGCGGTGTCGCGAACATTCGGCTGCGAGGAAGATTCCGGCCGCGGTTGCTCGCGAGATTTTACGCGTCCCGGTGGATCGCCGCCGCGCGAATGTCAAATGATTTACGCCGCGATTAGCTGAACTTGATCTGCATCAGACTCACCACCGTACGCGTCGTGAAAAACGCCGTGACGACCGACGACGAAGGAAGAAGGGAGGGACCGGTCCGCTGCGCGTCCGCGACGCTCCGCGATGCTTCTCGAACAGACCAACATGGCGCCGGTACCCAGCGCCCCTGCCCCCCCCCCCCCCGGTGCTACTGCGCGATACTACGTGAGTCGAGTCAGCGACGCGACCTGAATATCACTTTCATATCACTCGCGCAATGTAAGTATCTCAAATAAACGCGCACTTAAATTCACACGTCTGTTGATGAACAATCGACGCACTCGCGGCTTTGTACTCTACTCAAGTTACATCGACGGTTCGCCTGCCGTATCTCCGAGTGCACGCTCCGAGAAACGAAGACGACGTCAATTACACACGATCGCGCACATCGTCCCGTGCCACTCGTACGGCAGTTCGAATGATAACGCGACGCGCGACTGACCTCGGCGCGTCTTGCCGCTTGAGTGTCTCGAGCCGCCGCGGCCGGAGCGATCGTCACTTGTTTGTCTCGAGCCGCCGCGGCCGCAGCGATCGTCACTTGTTTGTCTCGAGCCGCCGCGACCGCTGCGCGCCGAGGTCACAGAACGTTCGCGTGCGCCGCAGTATCGTTCGAGCCGCCGGTACGTACGCTACGAGGCGACGTGCGCGATCATTCTCCGCGTAATTAATCGACGCCACGGCCACGCGAGCGTGCACTCCGCGATACGGCGCAGGCGGAACGTCGAATCGCCGTCTACCGCTCGCTGTTTCTCCGATGTGACTCGAGTAGAGGAAAGCCGCGAGTGCGTCGATTGTGCATCAACAGACGTGTGAGAATTTAAGTGTGCGTTTACTTGAGATACATTGCGCGAGTGACATCCAGATATTCAGTTCGCGTCGCTGACTCGACTCACGTAGTATCGCGCAGTAGCGCCAGGGGGGGCCAGGGGCGCCGGGTGCCGGCGCCATGTTGGTCTGTTCGAGAAGCATCGCGGAGCGTCGCGGACGCGCATCGGACCGGTCCCCCCCCTTCTTCCTTCGTCGTCGGTCGTCGCGGCGTTTTTCACGACGCGTACGGTGGTGAGTCTGATGCAGATCAAGTTCAGCTAATCGCGGCGTAAATCATTGGATATTCACGCGTCGGCGATCCACCGAGACGCGCGTAAGTCTCGCGAGAAACACCGGTCGGAATCTTGCTCGCAGCCGGATTCTCGCGACGCCGCCGCGGGTATCCGAGCTTCAATTTTAACTCGCGTCTCCCCGTACGTGTAGAAATATCCTAGTTTTCCACGCGCGACGCGCGGCGAGTGGAATGTTCGCGCGAGATCGCCCCGTTGAACGCTCGCGTTCGGTCGCGAGACGCGTCGAACCTCGCATATTTCCGCGTCCTTCTCGCCGGAACGTTCCCGCCGTTTCACACGACGCCACTCCTGGGCGGCTCGTGTTTCCGTACACGATCGTCTCTTTTTCTCGTTCGCGTTGTGACGGAGCTCGCGTCGGTTAACGCCGGGAGTGCCGCGTTGTGCCGATTGCCAGTGCCAAATCTGCGAGGAATCCGAGAGGAAGCGGCGGCCTGGGAGGCATCGGGCAACGGCGGAGCAACCCTCTGGTGAGTACAATTATTTATGTATTATTCTTAGCGTAAACTTCATTCCGCGGATTGCTTTTATTCGCCTCCCCGTCTATTCGACTCGACCGTTCGAATGATTCGCACGAACGCTCGTCAAATAATAGGTTTGTTTTCTGTTCCTGCACTGGTGAGCTAGTGCAGTAAGCTAGAATGAGAAAAAATTTGCTTGTCTCACTCTAATTTATTGCACTAGTTCACCAGTGTAGGAATAGAAAACAAACCTATTGTTTCATGGAAAAGATTCAGATTTTTTTACACTACTTTAATATGAATTCTACGTTTCTATGTTGCAGAATCATCAACGTAGCTAACTCCGCTGCTGCCCGTCGGTCGGTGAGTAACAAGTTTTTTTTACCAAGGTAACGAATCTACATTTCGCAAGGCCAATGTCCACGATGCTAGAACTTGGACCAAGTTCTAGTATCGTGGACATTGGGCTGTAGATCGTAGAACGTAGATAGATAGTAGATTTATTCCGTAGATTCGTTACCAGAAAACGAATAGATTACAACATCATTTTATATTCTATTTGATATAATTAATCTGACTGATTTATTGACGTATTTGTCGAACTAATGTGACCTATCCGTTTTTTATCAACATATTGATATGTAAAGTAAAAGATGACGTGAGATTTTAAATATTTTGTCAACAACGCTTAAACATTTCAAATTATTATTATACGTTATTGGTAGTTATTGATTACCTATAATATGCAATTACAATATCAGTGTTTGTCGTGCAGAAAGGTTCTTTAAGTCTGGGTCTCACGTCATTTATTTTGTATATGTATGTCGCGATACACCTTCAAGATATGCGTGTCGCATGAAAAACATGCAAATCATACGCATCTTCATACATCCGCGATCGGTTTTCGCGTTTGAGTTTCGCGATCGGTTTATAAAAACGTTTTCAAAATAGTACCTTGTAATTTCATCCATATTAGAAATATTAATTTATCGCGGAAGATAATCAAAATTAATATAACGCGAAGTAAAATGTTTTCCGTGTATAGACTTGAATTTTGAATTCAAAGATCGAGTCACGAAGAGACGGTAAATACTCTCGAGTAAATAACGGGAGTAGAAATATATTAAATTAGTTTTATGCAATAAATTTTTCGAGTTAAAATTTTTTCTTAATTAACTTCTCGTTGTACGTAACTTTTCGCTACGATCGACGCTCGTATATAATTCAAATCATACGTAACATCTGTCGGTGACGATAACGAACCGACTATGGAAGGAATTTTCTTCCTTCCTGATCTCTGGTCAAAATGACCAGACTATATGGCCAGGAGCAACGTAAAGTATGTTCAATCTGGCCCAACAAAAAAAGATTGGATTACAAGGTAAGTGGTCAATATTGGCCACTCTTGGAGTATGTAAGGTGATAAATGAAATAATTTGATTTCTTTTCGTTTGTCAAAATTCGGGTGGGTTAATCTTCTTTATACACATATTCTCGCATATGTGCGAGGTTGATAAAATTAAATCCTAACCGCGTGCGTATTATAATCGCGTCGCGGTTTTAACGAAAAACTTGTAGGTTCATTAAGTTGAAACGCGGGTAGATAAGAAAAACGGATAGGTAGAACCATAAGTATATAAAAATAGGGGTAGTTAGGGATTGAGGTAGGCAGGGACAGGGGGACACAACTCGATAACTGTTCAATATTAACGACGTTCACGCCGGTAATATCTCTTTTTTAGAAAGGAATTCCGATTACTTACCACTCTGCACCAATGTGGATTTCCATATTCTCTCAATAGAGATACATCTAATGAAATGAATCTTATACACTATCCCCCTATTGCGATTTCAGAGTTATGAGTCGTTTAGGCCATTTGCTTTTTCCTGTTTTTTTTCTGTCCTGGAGTCTAATCGATCTTAGCCTCTTGATAAACTATACTTAATTTTCCTTTGCGTCAAAGTTATTTTTATGAGTTGCAATGTCAAACAGAAGAAAAGTTGCGTAAGTGATTTGCACAATTCACGCAACTTGATGAAAAGGAACTTGAAATTATCACATTTTGTATCTCGCAAGTGTTCATTAAAAAAAATCTAGTTAATCTGAGAAATATCGCATCTTACATCAATAATTCTTTAATTTAATTTAATAACAGCGTATAATATCGATCGTCGTCCACGGACGTGAGAGAGCCGAAAAGCAAGTTGTAAACTAAGAAAAGACATCGTTCTTCGTCGTAAACGTCATTTTATTTTACCTATGTACAGAAACGAAATTTCCCTTAAACGCACCTAGACAATGATTGAATACAATAGGATGAAATCGCGTCGAACTTATGTACAAATTAAACGTCGATGGATGCGCCGCGGCGTTTTGTACCCTGACTGAGAACGATACGAGAAGGAATCAGCACCGGGGTATCGTGCCCCGTTGCGGTGCGCGAATATTATAAAATAAAAAGGAAAAGAGGAGTCTCTCTCTCTCTCTCTCTCTCTCTCTCTCTCTTACTCTCTTCACTCTCGCGGAAGTTACAAAAGAGCTCGCATAGGTAGGTAGACAGGTATCTTTAAAAACAAGAACACATGGTACTTTCGTCGAACGCGAAGGGCCAAGGTAAGAATTGAGTCGCAGTCACGATCGACAACTCCGTCATCCTTGGGCTTCTCTTCCCCAATCCTGATGCCGAGACTAAAAGTTCTACGAGCCACGAGAAACGTCTCGTTGTCGCCCGACGCGAATCTGATTCAAGCTTTACGTACATGAGGCTGAACTTTGCATAAACAATCCAAGATGATTCTCATGCCTAGAGCAATGTTCCTTGAAAGCGCTGTTCGGCGAAACAAACGGCGTTCTGCAAACATTGTTGTTACAGATGCAATTTCCGTCAAAGTTAAACTATAAATCTTCCGAAATATTTAAATTAATGAATTTTGATCCGCATTCTAAAGTTATTTGGTGACATTAAAGAACTTGTTTTCACCTTCGCACAAGTTTCGTAGTTTAAACGGGATCGAAAAGGACTGTTTCTAATCAATCTCGTCTATGTGAGATGGCGGTTTTAATCGGTTGCTTTTAGTTCTAAAGTTAGTCTCGCGACTCCATTTCAGAAGTGCTGTTTTGGGCAGATCTATCGACGACTGCAGCGTCGATATTTCTTTGTCTAACTGCATCTTTACTTAACATTGATACTGATGTATCTACAACATGATTAAACCCACCATAATGCAAAGAGTGAAAGGTAACTTCATCAAGATTTTATGCTACCTGACATTGATACGAATGAGAATCTTAATGTCTATCTTGGAATTTTATTCTCATAATTGACTTAATAACAGTTTCTACTAGTAGCCGAGAATCGTTCGTAGTTCTATGTCAATCGGAAAGCTTTACTCAAGAAAAATATCCTCAAAGCAGAACGCGCAGCCTCATGCGCCTAAACTGATACGAAAACGTCGATCGTTCGCTTCGTTCACTTTTGTAAATCGGAACCTAGTGAGCTGTACATATATCGCGCAAGCGATGACTTTAGAGGTCTGAGTCAGAAGAGAATAAATCTTGTCTCTGATTCACACACTAGAAAGTTACTCTATCTGAAAACATTGCCATTGATGAACACATTTATAATTTCTTGGTTACTCCGTCGTGCGAGTAATCCAGAAGCGTATTCTTTTATTGTTCTTAAGTTAGAAATTCACTGTTCAACGTATTTACGTTTTCTCTAATAAAGTTAATTGTATAGGCCACACGTCCAAGCAGTCTTGAACTTTCTAGGCAATGTTTTCAGGTTGGAGAATGAAGTGTTTTCGCGGTGAAACGAGAAATATCCCTTCCTTCGATGTCCGCCTAATATATTTGATTGACTCCGTAATATAATGATGATAGGTAAACGGGTTTGCAGGAAGAATGAGTCAGAGTTTAGATTAAAAACTCGTTTTTTTTAAAATTCGTTCGACTTGCTCTAGTAACGTTTGGTCGTCATTAGGCGTCATTTGTTCTCACGCCGAATCAATGTACTTTCTCTTCTGTCTGCGTCAGTTTTTAACTTTGAATCCGACTCAATCTCTGATCCCATTCATATATATATTCATCGCTTTATACTATCCACTATACTATACAAAGCTCACCGGTTGTACTCGAACTTACATGTAGATTTCACGTCTCTCTTGCTCGCATTTACATAACTGTTTGCAACGGATTCGCCGGTACAGCGTGAAAAATCGTCCCGTGTAGATACGCGACGCGAAATATCGAGAAAGGTCGAGGATTTACTCGGGTATGCCTAGCGCACAATACAAACATCGAATTCGATCGTTTACAATAATTAATGTACATGGACTTCAGAGACAGATGACCGCAAGTAACCGCATAACGCTTATGAAACAACCTGTATATATTTCGTATCACATACGTCGCTCAGAATCTGTCAGATTCTATCACAAGAGGGATTCGCGCGCGTGCGCGTACGCGCGCGAATGTATTCTGTACGCAACAAGGCGGTGATATTTCTTGGACCGGTAATGGCAATGTTTCTCGAATCTAGGATTCTATTATTAGCCGATAGAGACTTTTTAGAGACTAATCACTTGCGTCACGTTGCCTCCGAAATTGCCAGCGGAGAATGACCAAAATCGGGACGCGCTATTTTACAGAGGAGCCCCTCAATTACTTTCGCTGTTCGGTGCTTCGACCACGAGTTGCCTCTAGACTAGAGTGAGCTTATCTTTAACGAAACGTAATATCATCTTATTCAAGGTGTCAACTTTGACCGTTCAACTCGCAGGTGACAGCAGTTGAACGAGGAAAATAATCTCGGGCATTGTTACTCAGGATAGAGACTTTGGTTACTCTCCCCTACGTAAATGTTCCTTCGAGAACGATTACTCTCGTCTCACGTTAGTATGCTCTATCTTCGAAACTTAATCTAGGCCGTCCCTCGCCGGCGAAAAGACAAGGACCCAACATCCTTCAACTGTACTTGGCCGCGACGATTGATTCGATTTTTCGATCCAAGTTGAAGACTGCTCGACTCGAATTCTATGTGAGCGATACATGTAAATTCAGCTGCCGTTAACACATTGGCTGCCAGAATATGTATGTATTTCTCAAATTGCAAATCTTTTGGAAGATAGCTTTTTTTTTTGCACAAAATATTGCTCTTTCGATAACAGTTCCGAATGAAATCCCTTTCTCGTATTCGCGTTCTTTTCCAATCTTGTGAAATATATGTATAAGATCGTTTCGCTTTTCGCCTTGGAGCTTATCCGCTATTCTCTACGGGCACAGCCAATGTGTTAAGAGAAAATCGTCTTGTCCACCTTCCTCTTTTGATTGTGCTAACTCCCCCCCTCTCGGCCGGAGGACTCGATCCGGCTGTCGGCGCGAGAGAAGCACTAGGATGAGAGAGAGTGATGCCGTCACGCGCGGAATAATGATCCTTCCCCCGAAAGAGAGAGAGTCAGTCTTGTTGAGGATTAATAGATAGCTCTGGTACGACTTGGTCCTGGCACGAGGACCTGCTGCCGGACGTAGGTGTGTATAACCGCAGCGGCTTCGACAGCCACGGGTGCAGCGGCACGTCCTCGGCGTACGGTCGCTCGGACGGCTCCTTTCGCAGCAGCGAGCGGATCAGGCACTTGGCGCGCGGGCTCAGGCCCTCCGGCACGGCGAACAGGCCGCGCGAGATCTTGGCGAAGAGGGACGCGTGCTCGGCGTCGTTGAACGGATAACGGCCCACCAACATCGTGTACAGCAGCACGCCCAGCGACCAGATGTCCGCCGCCTTGCCGGAATAGGCGCGTCCGGAGCGCAGCACTTCCGGCGCGACATACGCCGGGCAGCCGCGCCGGTCGGTCAGCTTGTCGTCATCGTTCTCCACGATCACCGCGTCCTCGAGGCTCTCCAGGCGAAGCCGCGTTCTGAAAAGAAGAAACGTGCCCGAGTGAACAACAAATTCAAGTCAGGATTGCAGTAACCGATTTCACGCTATTTGCCATTGTCTTCGAGATAATCGAATATCCCTATCCATTTATCCGTACCTTCCCCCAGCTCTCTCTTTCTCTCTCTCTCTTTCTCTCTATCCGTTTAGCTTTAATTTATCTAGCTTTTGAGATGTGAAAAAAATCATTCAATAGCCGGTGGGCGTCTACCAGGACGAACCCAGATACCGAGAAGACTAAAAGACCGTCTTTCTCTCTTTCTCTCTCTCTCGGAGGAGGAGGAGGAGGAGGAGGAGAGCCACGGGATAGCGCATTAAATGTTGCAAAAGATTTACAATCTTTTTCCTCTCGGCGTCGTGTGAAATTCGCTCTGCGTGTCTCGGACACGCGTTACGCCAAGCCCTGCATTTATTATCGACCGGTTGCGATCTCGCTCTCGAGCCCGCGAACTAGAAACCGAGGATCGTGCAATCTTTTAAAGTGCGCGCGCGCGCGTACTTTAAGTGCGCGCCCGAAGGCAAGGTATTTCAATTTAGCAAGAGGACACCGCGATTGAGCCATCGTTCTCAGCCGTCGTCGTCGTCGGAATAAGGCACGACGAGAGGACCGGGGAGTGAAACAGAGACAGATATGGATAGGTAGAGAGTGAAAGAAAGAGAAGAGAGCGCTGCGCTGGCCAGCCGCTGCGTTGATCAACCTGCAACGCGGAAGTCGCGCGTGTACGTAATATTCTTGGCTCTTGGGTAACTTCTGAGCTCTCCTTCGACACGAGTTCTCGTATTCTCGCCCACGACGTTCGGCCGGGAAGGGGCAGCGCGCACGGGAAAGCGCCCGCGTATTCCAGATCATACGCTCCTACAGAAACAGAAGTCACACATTTCTGTACTTGTCGCTCCCTCGAGTCGTTCATCAGTAACAAAGATATCTTTGTAGCCGAATACATTTCAGAAAGACAATTTTCTCTTTTCCTTCGAGTTATTCACCGCAGAGATATATTTTAGCCCCGTCCTATATACTTCAGAGTTAGCTTAGAATTAGTTTTTTTTCATTCAAAGTATACTTTCCAAAAGTCAGTGCATTATTAACTGTGAACCAGGGAATGTTCACCGTTTTCAGTGATGATCCACCGATTGACTTTTAGGGAGTGCACGAAGAGAATGTGCTCTTCAAATTTACCCCGAGAGACATGTAATCGTGGGACGATATGGTACTTTCAAGACTTTTATGAGAGTTTTTTGAAGTCTACCATACATTCTACTAGTAAAATGTATGATATTATACAATTTCCAAATACTCATAAAATTCTTCGAAATGCCACGTTGTCCCACGGTCACGTGATTTTCGGGATAAATTTTAAGATTCTCTCTGTGTACAGTTTCGTCAGTTTGACTAAGCACGCACCTACGTTTTACTCTTACTGTTTAATGGATTTTTAATCCATCCATTTGTTACTTTAGAATTACTGAACTGACGGTCCCGTTTATTACAAAAATTCGTGTAAAAGATGCGTCCAATACAAAAGTATTGTTGAAAGAGACAAATCTCGTTTATGTTAAATCAAAATTACACTTGTTGGGAAATGGGGTTTTCGCCGGTAAAGGCTCGCGCTGATTTTATACCAATTTACCATCGATACAACATTGTTATCTCGTAAATGTATCGTGACTAGAAACTTTTCGTCGCGAGCGGACAATCGAAGGAAATTTCTAACAAGAGAAACGTCTGTTGATTAAAATAATAAGATCCCAGCCAAGTTACACAACGTAATCCGTTATATTCTCGGAAAGGCGTGTCGAAGTTGAATCGCTCTTCAATAAAGCCGTCAGCGCATCGAGAATCGAGACTCGAGAGCGCATTTCGGAAGAGCGAGAGAAAGAGAGAGAGACGGAAGCGCGCCTTCGGTGAACGCACGCGAGAGAGTCGTTACACGATCTTGACAATCCGTACGAGTGTCAATGGCCTCTTCTCTCTCACGAGCAAATGAATCGAACGGACGCGATGGCACGCTAGGCCATTCGCGATGAACCAAACGCGGCCGCCGCAGAGAGAGAGAGATGCTGATAGCGAGAGGGAAAGAGAGAAAGAGAGAGAGAGAGAGGGGCATCGCACAGCTTTCTTCGCAAACTTTCACCCGTTCGCCGGTCGCGTAGCACGATATTGCTCCGGGTTCAAGAACCCCTCGGCGCGGCGGATACTAGGCGCGATGCGATTTCTTGGACGGCTCGTGAAATTTTACGGACGTCCAGGGAGCGAAACGTCGGCCTCCTCCGGAGTTGTCAAAACGCGAGTGACTCTCGCTTCTTCCGTCGACGTTACAAGTCGCGCGGCTGAATTCTCCGAAGGAGAGACGCTGATATCGCGCGAATCTCGTTAATCAGCGAGATCAATCGGCCGACCGCGCTCGCAGACGCGGCAAATTGATGCGCCTCCAATGGCAAGGTGGATCTTGTCTCGGGATTATTTTCGTCCCGCGATTATATTTAATCTTCGCGTCGAGGAAAACTTGCCGGAATTAAACGGCTACGTAAATACGCAAAGTTATCTTGGCGAGCCAAGTCACCCGTCCTGGACGTAGAGAAACTGTGTGTTTTTTTTAAAATAATTGATAACTTATTCTCTAAAGCGGCCATCCTATAATTTACGTTAGACTTGAGATATAGTTCGTAGTTGCAAAACGGACAATTGCATTACCAGTGGATTACACGGATGTGCGCGTGCGAAATGCCCGAATACAGGTCTCAGGTCAACGTCTCGGATTTACAGTTTCAAGAATAGAGAGTGTCTCGGGCGCGCGCGAGTAGCGATGGGATTAAGTGTCTTACAAGTAGGTGCGAGTTCGTCGGCGTAGTTTCGAGCGTTCTACGATTATTTCAACGGTTAAGGCTGTACTTCAAGTGTACTCGAGTCTATACGAAATGTATTCGAGCTCTACATGAATACTTCGAAAAACAAGAGTGTTACTTTCAAGTAGAGACCCGAACTTGGATCAATCGTGTTCGAATCTTACGAGTTCTTTAATAGAAATTTCAGGCGAAGCCTGATGTGTCTGTGTGCATTTATTACATTTACATAATAACATGTATATTATAACAATATAACACATGTTCGAGTGCTGCTCGTAAAAGATTCGAGTTACGATAGAATCTATTTGCACGGAGAGAATTTTCTCTAAAAATCTATCTTGAAAATCACGTAATTGTGGGACAACAGGGCACTTCGAAGAATTTTTATGAAAATGTTTTGAAATTTTATCATATATTTCACTAGTAATTATAGAGGAAAGTCCCATAATATGAGATAGCGGAGTTTCTCCTAAATTACTAGGCACCATCTGTTGGTTCCACCATAAATTTATTGCCCTTGGAGTGAAATCTGTTTAGTGGAAAATAGATCGTGTTATCATTGCGAAAAAAGATTTGTGATTGAATTTGGACGTTGAAAACCTACTATCTCATAATAGAGGACTTTCCTCTACTAGTAAAATGTGTAGTAAAATTTCAGGAAACTCTCATACAGTTGTTCAAAATGCCATGTTGTCCCACGATTACGTGATTGTCAGGGTAAATTTTAAGAAAAAATTCTCTTCGTGTGTGGGTAATTATTTTAAAATTGAAACCAATTAATCGGGACTTGATTACGTCGCAACTGCAGTGCAGTGAAATATTATTTCTTACGAATATCACTCGAAAATCCCAGAAAGTGAAACTCGATCATCGGATTTTTAAGTACATATTGAACTTGATCCCGTCCCCGGGTTCTCGGGCGCAAGACTCAAACGAGACCGATGATTTCACTCGCGGGGATCATTAACCTCGCGAGTGACGATCCCGCCGATTGAATTCGGCGCCGAAGTGGACCAGCTCGGTGCTGTTGCGAAACGCGATGCGTGGCGTAGAAAGAGAGAAATCCGGCCACGAGATGGCATCGTGCATTTCACCGAGATAGAGACCCTGCAATCAGAGACTGGCCGTAAGAATTCGTCAAATTCCCTACGATCGTAGAATCGTAGAAGAGTGAGTTGGCCTATGTTTCTCTCTCATTCGCGGGAATTTGACGAACTCTTATGGCCAGTCTCTGATTACAGGGTCTCTACACCGAGAGCTAAATGCTACTCCGTTGACACCGTCAACGATGACAACGACGGCGCGCGTTTTCTGAGTCTAAATATTCTATGCCAACGAGACACGTGCGTGACGTATTTAGCCATGATCATCAAGTCGAGCTCGCATACGCCAAAGCGCATCCGGGAAAAGGCTGATTTGATCGCCTTAATCCGCCCATTGTCGGCCGATGAGGTAAAGAGAAACCCACGCGGGAGACTCTGGCAAGCGAGACGGAATGCGCGGAGAACTTGGCGAACTTTCAGAAAGGGAGAGAGAGATGCATTCGAAACCGGTGAGATTGCAAGTGATTTTCTCTCAAAGTCGCAGGATTTGTGGAAGACCAGGCGGATCGATTTATCACATTGGTCAAGCTAGGATACAACGATTCAAGTTCTCGGCAGCTTCATTCGATAATCAAGTATTACCGAAAACTATTCCATTCAGAGCCACGCCGAATCCCGCGCGTTATCGCGCCCGATTACTCAAGGAAGGCGCGAAACTCCTTGGAGAAAGGGAGGGTGAGACCACCACGTGCCGTCTCGGATGTCGGCCGCGCCGCGCCGCGCCGGTGGAACCGAGCCGAGCCGAGCCACGCGTTTCCTAATTATACCGACGTTTCAAAACCCCGCAGCAGCCGATGAACCAATATGCTTTTCTGGCTTGCAACATTCCCCGGACTCTCCTTATTCTTACGTACGCGCGCGCGCGGGAGCAGCAGCTCGCCGCGCGATAGGAATGCGATTGGCCAACAACGGACCCGACATACGAGTCGATCTCCCGATCGCCGGCGTAACACCGTGCACGACACACACGCCCGGCCTGGCTCGGCTCGACCTGACTCCGATCGGTCGTTGCCTGCACGCGGGCTGCGCGCTGCCTTCCGCACGTGGGTGTGCGTCGTGTGTCGTATATCGCGGAACGAGCAGATAACGTTGCGCGAACGAGCTTCGCAAACACACCCTAAATCACGACTCGGCGCGATCTAATGAAATCCTGCGGAGATACAAGCGAGAGCGATCGTTCCTATTGTTCGTAACTCGTGAAGATTTGCAAGCAGTTTGTCCGTGATCGCCGGCGGTTTTGCACCTGTTTGAGTCTGGAGATGTTGCGAGCTATTGGTACGCGAGTCGAATTTCTATGATTCGAAAAGTTCTAGATCGTGCGATTCGTAGATATTGTCGGTTTTATAAAGTCATATTTCCCGTTAACAAGCAAAACGGTAGTCGTGTTAACAGATACATTTAGGTCCGGTTTCGTCAACGTTGTTTAGCTGTGAGCTTAGCTTAATTCGTTCTTCGTCTCTTTCCAACTGTTACTTTAGAAAGAGACAAACGTGAATTAAGCTAAGATCAAAGTTAGTCTGGTGAAACCGGGCCTTAATGGTTCATTGATGCATCGCTGCTCATTGAGCGGCTACAAAATGTCGGTTCGTATCTCTGGGTCGAAACTGAAGAGTACCGATAATAAAATTAATTATATTATTTTATCTTAATTACTACGTGTGTAAATGGACCGATACTACATTCGAGTATTTTAATAATTGATCTGCGATTCCTCGCCCAGTCGCTACCACGGCATTAAATTAAGTATATTTGTTTTTTATTAAGTATATTTAAATACGGTTTTTTTTACTGTAAAACTAATTTGCATTATGTAATCGATATTATTTTTTCACATCAAGATATTCTCTTATTGTCCACGTTACAATTTAATCCACGTTACGACAATAATTATATTGCTAATTATAAAAACGATATTTCAACGAGTCGACATAAAAAAAATCCTCCACTCGCACATCTCTATTTGAGTCGAACTTCACGTAACTTTTGACTTCGCACTTTGTCGCAAACGGGACAGCTTCGTTATATCTCTTGCCTCTGTTCAGAGAAATTACAGGCTTCTGGGATCATAAACTAGACATGGCTTGTATAACGATTTGAGTTATGGCATATTTAACTTGAACGATTGATATCGCGCCAACGAGAGCGATTGATATCAATCAACCAATATGCTTCCTCCTCTAATCGATATGTTATACAGATACAGAGTCACACGTGTTCTTGAATGAGTTTACTTTAACTGAGTTTTCAGGCAATGATCGATATACTGGCAAGATGTAAAAACCGCGTCTCGATACGCGATACACCTACGTGTACATTTTAGAGAAACGCGCTCTCCCTTCTGCAAGCGAGTGCACAATGCCACGCGATCCGCGACGAATTGGCTGATATTGATTTCATTTCCATATTCGCTCGTACTTCTTTCTAGCACTCGGGAACAGAGAGGTCACTCGTACGAGAAAAACACTCGGGGCAATCGATTTCCCCTTCACTCGGAAAAGCGAGCGCGTGCCCTGCGCTATCGATACCTTCGCTTCGATCCGGATGTGTGTCACTTATCAGCTTTCAGTAAAGCGCCGCGGGAAAGATGCTCCGGTTTCGATAAGGCCTTTCCTCACGTGTTATCGGCGACAATTTATGTCGTTATCCATATCGCAATTGCAAAATAACAAGTGTTGCAAAAATATAAGCAACCGGAAATAAAAAACTGATAACGCGAAAGAAAGTTCATATCCTCCCTAACGTTTCCATATTTTTGGAAATAACGCAAGACGATCGAATTCATATCCTCGACAGAGACATAAATCGTAAAGACTCGATTTCGAGAGTGACTTGGACGAAACCCAAACGTAATCGATTAATTCAAAACGGTACGCTTATCTACAGTAAAATTTCTCGCCCGCGATTCAAGTTCTCTCTTCATGTGTCCAACAGCAATTAATAATTCCACGTGAACGAAGTACTTATAGATATTACTCGATAAGTTAACCGTCGATTAAGTTAATCTAGAATTCGGCCCAAGTCACTCTGAACGCTGGACCGGGGAGGATTCTCACCTCGCTTCGTCGGCGAAGACAAACTTCCGGAGCTTGAGGTCCCTCAACACGACCCCGTACTCGTGACACGTCGCCACGGCCCTGGCCGCCTGCCGGAAGAGCCGCCTCGCCTCGGGCTCGCGCAGCCTCCTGCGTGCCCTTACGTAGGCGTGCAGGTCACCGTGGTGGCCCTCCAAGAGGAGATAGCGCCGGCCTCCAGGTGCCTCCACCACGCCGGCCACGCCGCTCGCCGCGCCGGTGCCCTCCAGACGAAGGTGGGCTTGCAGCAACGCCTCGCAACCTTTGTCGCCCACGGTCAGCGCCTGCAATCCGGAAATGCAACGGAGTCAGCAACAAAGACGATATTCAGGTGCCCGCGCGCCGTTAAAAACGTCGGTTAAAAACAATGCCGAAAATAGACTCCGGAGATGGGAACAGGTTTCATTCCTAATTGGAATTAGCAATCGCGATTTTCTAATTGATACGATCTTCATCATCGCTGGGTCTGATATTCCCGAGAAGTCTCTATTCTTGAAATGGGTGTCCAATATTTTTCCGTAGCAGCGCGAAACGACGGATGTTCCTGCCGTTTAACAAGCATTCTTGACAGGAACCCGATACCGGCTGTACCATGGTCGATTTCGGTACGGGTGGAAATGAATTTTATCATTCAACGAGCTTAAATTATTCCAAGCGGATATCCTCGAGAAAGCGATACTCACCTCGCATCTTTAAATGACGATTATTAAGATATGTGACTTTATCTAGTCATGCTGTCGTGCAACGTCGAACGAGGTTGATAAAATCCGCTCCATTTCTCCTAATTGTTTTAATTAACGACCGGGTTCGATGTACCAGATATCGAGGTACTTTAATGCGCTGCATAATTATGCCACGAGCCTGGCATAACATTGATTATAATTAATCCTCGACGTAATGCAAAATAATAGAAAATAAAAAGTAGATAAAAAAAAGATAAGGATACGATCGATATAGCTGCAGATCTGCGGGTGCATTATTTATAGACAATATTTCTTGCTGACCTGTGCCTCGGTAAAAAGTCTTTGCGTCATGAAACCTACATACGGCAAACGAAATCGTCGATCACCTTTGAAACTCCGCTCGTCCAGCTGTTCATCTCTCTGGCTCGTGTCGAAAGCTGACACCGTTTCGACATTCGAGTCTCATTAGTTTAATAAGAGCACCGTGCATTCTTTACGAAATCGCCCCGATCGGCCATCGAACGCCGCTTTTGTAATGCTCCCGTAATTCAGAAAACGCGCCGAAAAACCTGCTCGCGGTTTTTGGTAAAATCGTGAGGACAATCGGCTCTTTTCAGGCAAACTCAACGAAGCTACCTAAAATTCTCGGTAACTTATCAAGCGCGTAATAAATGACGTATTAATTTCCTCTTACTCACTTTACGGAGAAACCGTTTCAGCGCGGATTCATCTCAATTTTATCGGCTGAAGCTTTGCGAATGTGAAACGAAACGATTAAAAATGACGCGTTCTATTTATGCGCGTCCTTATCGCCAACTATATCGAAGAGCTCATTGGCTTTGAATCTGGTACTCGCGACTCGCCGCGTTCCCCGAAATAACTGTGTGACCCCTATTTTTTTTTGTTCCTTCGAAATCACAATCCCGGCTCGCGAAACGCGGACACGCTTGCGAAAGCGTGCGTCGCGCGACGCTCTCTCGTGCGCGATTGTCAATTAAATTAAACGGCCGCGACTTTAGAAACGATTATGAATAACGGACAAGCGTAGTGGCGATACGCGACGGATGTGCGAGGCGAGAGAGGTGACACAGCCTTGTGTTTGTTCGCAACGCCGATGATGTAAGCGGCTCATTGTATAACGCGCGGCGATTGTAAAATGTTAATGGAAAGGCGACGGGGGAGGAGGGCGCGCGTCCACGTGCCGGTCCGCGGTGCGCGTTATTACGCGACAGCTCCCTTCGGCGGCGACTCGCGAAAAAAAAAGGGGGAAAAGGAGCGGCGAGAGGGAGAGAGAGAAACGCGGAACGTTGAAATCCTTCCGATCGCCGATACGAAATTCCGAGATACGCGGACGCGATAAGGCCGCGGGTAAGACATAAATAAACATAAACGCGGCCGAAGAACAGGAAGCGGCTTGCACGCGCGCGTGTTACGTTTGCATACGTACTTTGCGCGCTGGTCTAACGTAACGAGGCGTCCGGCCGCCCCTCGCCGCTCGTTGTCGATGCAAAACGTTGAAATTCAGATAGGAAGCCGCGATTTCGCGAGACTTTCGACCTGAGCAGAAAGACTGTCGTTACCGTTCACGATTTCGTCGTAAGACGTAAGTGTCGGGAGTCGACGCACAGATTGTCGTAGACGTAGGTCGCATTCATCGAATCCATTGTATCGCGTAGGCGACATACGTCTACGACAATCCTTTGCACGACGACTCACGTCTTACGACGGAATCGTGAACGGTTACGACAATCTTTCCGCTCAGGCCCTCATTCATTGTGTCGCGAGGCGACATACGTCCACGACAATTCTTTGCGCCTGTTCTACGATACGTCGTATGTCGCTGTCGGATGTCCGAACGTGGCGAAGAAATTGAAAAGAAATGTTCTCATTGGAGCATCGGCTACTTCTCGACTTCCAACACCGGCTTACGTCTTGCGAAGGAATCGTAAACGGTTACGACATTCTTTCTGTTCAAACCCTTTCCCGTTGTGCGGCGCGTTTGACAAGGGTCGCGCGGAGAATCCGGCTTGATTGCCGGAATAATGGCGCGTTGAAAGAGAAAACCCGCCGGGAGCTGTTCAGCTCGTCGCCCTCCGATGCTCGAAACGATTCGGTTTCGCGACGCGAACCGAGCGAGTATCTTAACGGAAATCGTTGCTCTCTCTCTCTCTCTCTCTCTCTCTCTCTCTCTCTCTCTCTCTCTTTCTCTTCTCTTGTCCCGTCAATTAGGGAAAGAGGCCGTCTAGATAAGGATTAATTGAGTCTTCCTCGAGGAAGTTGTAAACGTTTCCCAGACGAGCAGCGCGGCGGCCGCTCGGTTGCGTCGTCGTCGATCTCGCAACGAGCTTCACGGTGGAAGCTTCGATCGACCCGAACATTAGCGGACCGTTACGTCCGTATGCTCCTATTATATAACGCCACGGCAGTTGGATGGAAACTCGGCAGCTGCAGTGCGCCGCGGATGCATCCACGTGCGATGGCCGCCGCGCCGTCGCCTTTATACGCCGCGCCAGTGCCGCATTATACGGCAAGAGGCTAATTTGTGATATTGCCATCGGGTATTGCGATACCCCGCTTATTTATCGCGTTAACCATTTGTGCCATTGTTACTACATAAGAATGCCCGCGCGGAATATCAATTTTCGTCCAAATAATTAAATTTTTATCTTAATTCCCCCGACGCGTTAAGAAAACAATATCTGGGGCAAGCAATATACGGGGAAAGAATCTTCTCTTAAAATTTACCCTGAAAATTCATGTAATCGTGGAACAACGTGGCATTTCGAAGAATTTTATAAGTTGTTTACTAGTAAAATGTATGGTAAAATTTCACAAGACCCTCATGAAATTTTTCAAAATGCCGCAGATCTTCAGGGTAAATTTTAAGAGAAAATTCGTGTAGTATAAAAACATCTTAAAATTATCGTATGCTAATTAACAACATATTATTGCTAATGGAAGAAGTTATTGTATAATATTGCAATGTATTAGGGAATATATTGGGAATATATTGAGGGAAGCAAAAAGATGAGTATACAACTCATAGCTTTCATGGGCAATGAGAAGCACATTCAACAAAAAGCTCGCCCCGATCATTCGTCAAATTTTTTTACTCGGCTGTCTCAAAGTTGGGCCACTGTAAACCGGAGTCAAGTGTCCTGTGGTATGTGTCCGAGAAAAAACCGCCAGTTTTATTAACCGAAGCCGCTGAAGGCGTTAATCAAGCATCAATGACGATCTCTGGTCTAGAACCGTTTTTTTTCCTTTCACTCTCTGTGATGATATACTAAAATAAATATTTCTCGTTCGTTACACACCCACGTTCAGAAAGCTTGAGAAAAGGCCAAAACAAATTTTTATAGCGCAACTTTTCACTTCAACATTATGGTATTATATTTACTGTTAGACATTTTTCTCGAAATGGAATCTTGTGACATACATTCCCCTTGCGTGGAAATACCAAAATACACTCTTGGCCAATTCACGCTGATAAGTTGCCGATACTGCGAATTTGTAGCGAACGACTTGTACTAGTCAAGATTGACAGAAGAGACTTTTAAACTATCCCACCTCGAGCCGAGGCGATAAAAATGATAAATCGGCCCTCAAGGATCTCAGGTACTGACCTTGGCGGCGAGTTGCTGACCGTTTTTCACGTTGAGGCACTGATAAAGAGCGCTACCCTCGGTCGGACCAAGAAGCAGGAATCGATCCCCCAGTACGGTCGGGCTCGTGTGATGGTCTCGAGCCGCGACCGACTCGCATCTCGGGAGGACGCCCGGCGGCACCACCGAGCTGTTCTCGTTCTCGCTGGCCGGCTGCTGCTGCTGTTGCTGCGGCGACGGCTGCTGATGGACGACGTCCTGACCACCGTTAGGACCGACCACGTACTTGCCATTGTTGCTGCGGATCGGTACTGGCAGATGCAGTGGATGCTGCCTGGCCACTCTCATGTTGCACGCAAACACACGGTCACGCACGCACGCCCGCACGCACGTACGTACACGCACACACCCGGCGTGTACGGTCACTCGACGCAGCCGTTAACGGCGTTCTTCTTAGTATCGTGTCCCGTGGTCCACGCGACGCAGGGGGATTACAGTGAGATGCGCTGAACACACTTCGCGTCACTGGATATTACGAATCGTGTATCCGACATTTGTGGTGTATATACAAGAGCACGGAGAGTACGGCGGGTTCCGCGAGATGATCGGCTGATCTAAGCTCTAGCGCGTTAACTATTAGTTAGAAATATCACTTGTGCTTTTGGTGACCCGCGCAGTTTCGTTTCGCAGTGTTGCTGCGCTGGGTCCTTGGACGGAGAGAGATCTTCATGGGTTATCAGTCGGTCGCTCCCGAGAGCTGATCCTGTAACACGAAGAGGAGCGATTATTGTAGCGACACGGCCGGTTATCTCGGGAGTTTATGGAGAAAGTGCGGATTCGCGCTTTGCATGCCACTCTTTCGTGTCAAAATGCGAAGCTACGCAAGTCTATCTCGATGTATTTGCCACTACTGTCTCTTTTCTGTAAATCCGAGGCGTGAGATGCTCTTAACGCCATTGCGTAACAGTTTGCAATATAACGCACGTCTAGTAATATCTTGCAATTGCATCCAACGTGATTTTCGTATTGGAGAACCGGTACTGAAAACCATACGTTCAGTACAAATGTTTAGTGTCACAGTTTCGAGCGCGGAAATACCGGATCGCGTTCTCCTCACAAGACCTCACGTACTTGGGCTCATCAGTTTTGACGAAAAAATTTCTACGAGTAATTTTTATGAGTTTCATCCAGTAAAGTTCTTTTGCCAAACCGTGAGATGCAATTGCATTTTCGGAATTTGCAGAAAAGAAAACTCATGATTTAACGTAAACGCACGTGCGTCAGGCATATACATTGCTGAGTTCTATTCCGATGACGCACAGTGGTGCAACAGGAAGAGCTACCACTCTCTCACATTTGTGGAGACACGAATTCGAGTACTTTAGACATTTTTTCTTATTTTATATCGTCGACCTAATTAGAAAAATTCTAACTCCAATTTTTTACAGGATTGAGAGATTTATTTCGGCCAATTTATCTTGATATTTTGCGCCGTTTAGAAAAATTGTGAAACAACGTTTCATAAAAAAATTTAAAATCTTGAAAAACAAACCTTCTAATCCCCTACTGATTCTCCCACCTCCTAACTCCATGGTTATCCGAAGTTACGATTTGGTGAGTTGGGTTTTCTAGTTAGGCCGACGATATGTATGAAAGTGTTAAATACATTTTGAAAATACACAATCGTCATCCTCTAAATCATTAGAGAATACTTCACTGGGCGAAAACTACTCTTAAGAAAGTTTTCCTCAAACTCGGTGAACCTAAGTAATCCGTGCTCGTGGAATTTTCCTCATTTTATATGAAAGTGAAGTACAATTTGAAAATACACAATCGTCATTCTCTAGTTTCTTAGAGAATACTTCACTGGGCGAAAGCTACTCCTAAGAAATTTCATCTCAAACTCGGTGAATCTAAGTAATCCGTGCTTCGTGGAATTTTCCTCATTTTATATGAAAGTGAAGTACAATTTGAAAATACAGAATCGTCATTCTCTAGTTTCTTCGAGAATACTTCACTGGACGAAAGCTACTCGTAAAAGTCAGGTGCCTTTGTCAGAGAGACAAAGCCGCGCTACATCTTTCTCATTATAAAAAAAAAGAGGGAGAAGACGTCTCCGGCAATTCGCGCAGGTGGCCCTGGCCAAAATAGCAGGAGAGGCATGGCGCACCTACACCACAATTACGCCCACGCGTCGCCACGCACACACGTCGTCCGCGCGACGTCCCAACGTGACATCGGCGACGCGGCGTACAATAGTTCCCGTCCGCGGGGAGTCCGTAATATGATTCACGGACAATTTCAAAATACGTTTCGACATTCCCGCGCTTCGTGCGCAATTCCCTACGCGACCGAGAGGAGAGGGGAGGGAGGTTCCGTAAGGTCAGGGGTATTCGCGCCGGGGTACAGGGACGGCGATGGCGACGAGTCTCGCGGCTGCCCCGAGCCAATTTCCGGCCGTGTCGCGAACGTCGATCATGTCACTCCAATTGCGTCACGTAAACGCGAGTATCCCATTTTTTTTTTTTTAGAACGTGCGGAGACGGATGTCAATCGTCCTCCACGAATTTAGAGAGTGAATGCAAATCTATCCGAAAGCCGCGAGAGAAAGCGAGTCGCTGTGCGCTCGCTTTCCATGCGTATGCAAAAGTTACGGCTGAAGCGGCCAAGACGGAGAGAGTGAGACTCGATCTATTCCTACAACTTGACGAAGGTTTGTGTAATTTTTCCGATACATTGAATTGAGCGCATCGCTTTCGTCCCGAGGTGTCGGACGCGTCTTCGCGGACCGGCCGGCACTGGACCGGACGGACGAAAGCAACCGGCGACGAGGGAAATTACGTGACGGCTTTATGAATGATCGGATGGAAAGAGGAGGCGGGCGGCATGGCACACACACGCACACGTGACCGGCGACGATCGCGTGGACGCGAAACGCGGCGCGATCGCTCGCGAAAGGAGGATGTCCCTCCCTCCCTCTCGCTCCCCCTCTCGCCCCCGGCCCCTTTTTCGACGGACCGAGTACGGTCGAATTTATTCGAGACCGCCTGAAATAGTAACGGGCCGCTCGACGATCCGCTCGCGCGATGACTCACGCGCGTAATTTTATCGCTAAATGCCTTTCCCCTCCCCCGCGCCCTCTTCTCCACCCTTGCCCCCGCCGCCGCCGCCATCCCCCGATAAGTGTCGATGACACGCCATTGATCCGCGATGTTTACAAAACAATGCACTCGCGCCTCGGCGCATCGTCGAAATCCGTGGTCGCGCGAGAGCGAGCGCACTTGGCTCTCCGCGGATCAACCGCGCGCAGGACTCGTATACGCCGAGCCCGGGGTGCCAGCGTTGCTTCCCCCCTGTTCAAGTTTCGCCTGTCGACCGATCAAACGCCCGGGTTTGTACTCCGATATGGGAATCTCGTTTCACGGCGCGCAAACATTCAGTCAGCCTTTATAATCCAGCTCCGAGAGCATTCTCCTCTTTCGAGCGTTGTCGAGTCATCGAGACACTCGAGGGTTGTGTTTCCACTTCCTCTCGGTATTACTGACAGTATTACTGAAATGGCTGCTCCCAATTAAATCAGTACTCCCAATGCACCCAGAAAAGTCTCCTCGAAATCAAATGTTCTTTCAATGTTGACCTTACTGGACTATTGTTTAATTTCTAAGAAACGACTCCTCTACACTGAAAAAAATTTCTGGTTGAATATGGACGAATCAGATAATTCCTTTAGGATTTACCAGAATTTCTTTAGGATTTACCAGAATTTCTGTAGGATTACAGGAATTCTGGTAAATCCTAAAGGAATTATCTGATTCGTCCATATTCAACCAGAAATTTTTTTCAGTGTACCTTAACCAAGATTCTATTTTATTGAGATCGGAATCTCTAAGAGAATTCAAATCTATTTCTTCAAATTTAGCAAATGTTTTGGTAGAAGCGAATAAAAATTTAGTACATTCCAAGAACATGCACTGAAAAAAAATCTGGTAGATTCAACCAGTCGTCTGTTAGAAAATGGACGAATCAGAATTCCCTTTAGGATTTACCAGAATTCCTTTAGGATTTACCATGAAAGATATGTCATAACCAGAAGTTTGGTAGACTTCACTACAAATCTGGTAAATCCTAAAGGGAATTCTGATTCGTCCATTTTCTAACAGACGACTGGTTGAATCTACCAGATTTTTTTTCCAGTGTGGTTTTAACGTATCTCATTTGTTTAACCGAAATCTTTTTTCTGGGTGCAGTCCCGAGCATTCGGTATCAAAGAAAAGGTGCGGATGGTGGCGTTTAGAAAAAGTATAACCGCTATGTTATTACGAAGGATACCGGGGTTGCATTTGGGAACGATTTTCTCAGAAAACTGAATCTCAGTAATGGCGTCCAGTGCTGAGGGAGAGGAAATGGGAACACACCCGCGATTGCACTGAGAAAAAAGTCTTTGAACATTTATTTGTGTCATATAATGTTTATTTCACTGAAAATGGCGAATGTGCGAGCGAGGGTGAACATCGGCACTCGCGGTGAAGAAGGGCAAGTGTCTGCGAGGATGTTTTTTTTTTTCGATTAAAACCGCGGCAAATTTGGGGAAAGTCGATCGGACGAAAGTAGAGCTCCGTACGGTCTGTCGCGCTTCCAGTCGCCGGGTCGACGCGGCCCCTCGATTAGCGCCCCTCTTCGAATTGTATTATACATTCCCATCCGCATGACCGTTCGGAATCGCCGATTCAAGATATGCAAATGTCGCGCGAGTGTCCTTGAGGAAGCTCCTCGAAGCGTGCAACCGGCGTGTCGCGTACGATTATTCTTCACGCGATTATTCGTTGCGCAGCGCGGAGTCCGTCTTTCAGCTCGACCAAAAAAAAAAAGCCGAATTCGATTCCACGTAAAATTACATTTCCGCGATCTCATTAACCGCAACGACGCCGGAAATGACTGTTTCAGCAAAATATTTCCCCACTTTTTCCATCTCGATCCTTCAATTATAATAAACGACTGTAAACTTTACTCCGCGTGTGATTAGGTTTTATTTTCTGGAAATACGTACCTCGGCTCGATTACGTTAGTTAATTAAAGAAGAGAAACTAGGATTACTAAGCGGTCATTGTTCTTGTTCACTTGTGAGGAATTACAGCGAATTAGCGGCAACAATTAACGTCTCGACAATAATGATCGACAAGGCCGTACACGAGGACCAGTGTTTCTGGAACAGATTACCGATGGGAAGATCGGTCTACTGCGAAATATTACACCGATCTAGATTGTGCAAGATAAAGATCGATAGTATAGACTCGATAGAATAAGGTAAATTCAGCGAATTATCTGCACGAGGCGTAATTCGAAGTTGCAATTCAATCAGCGCAAAATCTGCGCGATTACGTTGTAGCGAGGAGAAAAGTCCGAGTTTTTACAGTAACGGACGTCCGGCATTGTAATACCTGGGATTCACACGCGCTATTCTCAGCGGCCGGTATCCGCATCAGAATTTTTTTTTTTGCGACGAACAACCTTGGCGATTGGGCAAGAATAGCTATCGCGGACAATTTTCGACGGCGACATTGCTCAATGCCGCCTGTTTACGTGCCGGCGTATCGTATCGTAACGTATCGTTTGAAAATCATATATCACTCGCGCGGCAGATGCTGACTGGCGATACTTCGCGGCCTCCTCCATTACGATATCTACGCACTTGCGCAAAAGCCGACAACACCAACGCAACGACGGGTCTCCTCGCTCCAAAGATCAGGGCTGCTTCATGCAGCAACGTGATCTCCCCTGCTTCCTCTTCTCCCGTCTCACCTATCTCTCTCGCGCGCTCTTTCTCTCTCTCTCTCTTTCTCTCTTTCTTTCTCTCCCGCTCTCCCGTCTCTCCCCGTCACATAGCCGTTTCCTCTTCGTCGCGCGATACGAAACGAGATGACGAGGTAACGTCGGTTTTATCATCGCCGAGGATTCTCCTCGAGGCGGAAAGCGGCCCGCTATCTGCAATCACGTGGATACCGCGATAGTTGCGAGGTCAACGCCGTATCGACAGGTGAACGTGCCCGGGGGGGCGTCGATTAAAGGGGCACTTTTCCCCCTGAGATATCGCGCCGCGATGACCCGACGGCAGCGACGTCCGGCAAGCCTGACCTGAGCGATTTTTCCCTGAATCCGGTATTAATCGTCGCCGAGTATTTCAAAATTACAAGACCGATAACTCCAGACTGAACTAAAGACCATTTTTTCTTGTTTACACTTTTAACCTCAATTTTCTCAAAAACCTGACATTTCGCTGTTGAATTCGGATTCAGTGGCCAAAATCTATGGAAAACGATGCGTCTCATCCATGTTGCAATTTTTTAATTGTCAACCCGTGTAATCTTTGTACCGAATTAATTTGTCTTCAAGTTTCGTCGATACGTTTAAAACCGTTTAGACACTAACATCCTGTCTTGGCTCTTATATCCTTTATTCCTTCGAAGTGTGATTTCACGTCAGAGCCCTATGAATTTTATTCTTAAACAATTTTTATTCAAGCACGTCACATTTTTTAAAGAAAGTACGTCATGTTTTTAAATGTACTAGGACTTGTATAATTATAATTTTGTAAATTCAACCTGAGGTGGGCGGAAAAGTGGACGGAAGGAACGCGCGTAAATTTAAAATCTAGGCGCGCGAAACCTGGAATCCGCGGGTGGCGACCTTGCGTCCCTCAAAAGGGAGCGCGCGAAGGCTGATGAAAAAAAAATATACACGGCCGCTAATACGCGATAAGGACCGACAACACGCGGCGCAAATTACATCATTCCCTCCGAAGGAAATGATGTAATCTTTATTGTGCGTTAAGCTACAAATTCAAATTCGTTACGCATGAATAGAAGTCCGGCGCAGGCCTTTCTACGGCTCTTTTCTCTCCCTCGCACACGCATGTCTGAATACGAAAGAAGTGCGACAAGTTTTTCTTTCGCCCCGTTGCACCGGAAGCTCCGTCATTCTTATATACATCCTTATTAGCCTTGATCTTAACCCACAGAAGATCCATGGCCACAAAAATATATAATGTTCGCGCGAAACAGGAGGCGAGTCCTTCTGTCGCGGCAGAATTTGAAGAAAGAAGGCGCCTCCGATTATAAAACCGAGCGCGAGAGAATCGGAGCCAACGGGACGGGTCTCGTGAGACGATTTAGCCGGCAGGTGCGCGAACTCCTCGGGGCATTGTCGAGGTCTTGCCCGCCCCTCCCCGCCGCCCCTTCCTACGTTCTCCCAAATGAAACGCGCGTATCTGACGAAATCGCGAGCTCGGAATTAGTAAAGTGTTGCGTTCGCCGCTGCCGCCGCCGCCGCCGCCGTCGCCGCGTGTGTCGAAACGATACGCGCGATATACCAGCCGA